TAGAGGCAGGTGGGGTGCCCAGACAAACCACTACAAGTATAAATAGGATTTAGGGAAGATATGACAGAAGAATACCAGCTATGAATCACAAGCCATTTCTCTCCTGAATGTATTTGGAATATCTCCCTTAGCCTTCCATGGCAGTACAATGAAATTCCCCATAGCTACTAATGGGCTGTGCGTCACATCACTGGACTTTTCAAAGATAATAATGTCCTTCTAGCCAGAGAGCATTATATGACATTTATGGCACTACCTACTATATTCTGCCTTGTATTCACTTATGTAATATAGCTTATCTATATAAAACTAAACATGTATTTTGTATGACAGCCTTGTTCATTCTAATCAGAAACTTCAGGAGACGCGCAGACAACATTAACACAGTTATTAAATTTCACATGCTAAAAAAGAAGCCTGTAGATCCCCCCTTTCTCCAAAAAGAATAAAAAGCCCATTTTTGTGTGTGTCAAGAATACACAGAAATCTTAACGATCCATGGGTACAATCCACCCAAAACAATATAGCCTCCACTCCTTTCAACAGAGTTTGTTAGTGCTGAGAAACAATATCCAGAACTATTAAATAGCTTCTCTCAGTATATAAAACAAAGTGCAAATGCTTCCTGGGCTGAGAAACAGATGCCCACTCGACTAAGTAAAGTGTGGAGACATACAATTACATAAGGTCTGAGCTCTGAACCAGAAGAAAAATTTAGGAAGCTCAATATTTGCAATGCATTTAAAATCTTTTTGCTAACATATAGAAATCTAGTATATATGATTACATGACTGTACATATTTCTATATACATACTTACACACTTTATACTACACTGTACATAATATAGTGGGCAAAATTAGATACAAACACATAATCATCATACACACAAGTTACTGATGTTTAGGATCAAAAATGCTATTTCACACGAACCCAAGAACTTGGGTGTACACCATGGAATATTTGACTTTTTTTTTCTTTGAAAGGCAGACTCTCATGCCCTATCACAATAAACTTTTGAAGAAATAGGAACACCTATAGACATATACTTAAAAAATGGTTTCAAAGACAGGAAATCTGGCCATTCCTTTCATAGCAAGCCACTTTCAGGGGGAAATGATATAAAATGGCATTCCACAGGTTCAGCCGTAACGTATAAGACATTGAGGCTATAGTGTTACATCAGTTATCCATGTCCATATTTCATTGAAGTCAATGAAACTTACAACTGTGGTCCAGTGTAGCGACAGACAAAGCTCAGACTGAGGGATATTCTGCACCTTACACAGAGAAGTCTTATACACAGTTGGTCTTTTGTTTTTCCTTCTCCTGAACAACAGCCTCACAATCACAAGTTGCTTTTAAAATCCTCCTCCTAGGGTTAAAGAGCTGCTTGCATTGTAATAGGGGGCGGGTGGCAAAAGAAAGCAGAGTTCTGTCAGGCATTATTGAGCTGATGATTGCAGGCATCTGACTCAGACCAGTGTGCAAATGAACAGTAAGGTTAAAGCTCATTTTTGCATCTCCTTCTGCCTCATGTGGTTTTGTATATCTCTTCCCTTCTAACACCTACTTTCTAATTTGGAGAACTGAAATGGACACAAGTGTCTCAGCTGAGTTCCAAGGAGTAGCATCATATCACACAGACACTACTCAGCTACTCCAACCTTTTTCTTAGTAAGGGCCTCTCTCTTGGCAGTGCACAGGCCAGATACCCACCATAAAAGTCAATCAAGTTCTGGCCTACAGAACTTATTCTCTCTTTGGCCACATGGAGTGGCTTCCTAGTCACTCAAAATTACAAAGCTTCCCTGCATTGCAGGATCCAGTCCATGTCACTATAATATATATCAGTCTCTTAAATCACTTTAATGCTTTATCCTTGGGCAGCATAGAAAGCAGAAAACTTTGTGTATCTCCTAAACTGTGGGATCACCATCTTTTGCTATTGTAGCAACTGTGTTATACAAAAGATTTTTGTTAATAGCATGTTAAATTAGATTAGATAAGAATTGATTAACCAGTGAACCACAAAAAGTACTGTACAGAAAAACTTAAAACGATTGAGAAGCTTCATGTCAGCTATTAAATACCATTGGTTAAAACCAACCTTTTAGCCCAATCCCAGCTCCAGCTAACTGGAATAAATTATTTAAACCAGTGTAATTCCACTCAAGAGAACAAAATCGATTTAAATAGTTTGACAATCATACAGTGTAAACCTGCAGAGCACAGACTTCAGTAAGAACCTTCACTTGAATAAGAGTCCGCCTAAGCATTTCATGGAATTATTTGAGCTCCCCAAATCATGATGGAGATATAATTTTAGTATATTTAATTATTGAAAATATTACATATTTCTTTATCAGCACATGCTAAAGTCTGTAAAAATATGATTGTTTTTGATACTACCAACTCCAACAGCTCAAGATAGTATATGAAACAATCTTATGTTGTAAAACAAAACCATCATAATATAACCGGTATATGCCAATATTTGTAGATTTCAATACAACTAGGAGGGCAATCCTAAACAGATCTACTCAGAATCATACTCTGGACTATTCAGTGAATCTTACTGCCAGGAAAGTGTTCTTAGGATTTCACTATAATTGTCCTAAAGAGCATTTGTATGCATCTAGTATTTCCTTTTGCACAAAAGTACATATACTTTTAAAGAGTAGAATTTTGGCTGCGGCTACATTTAAGGCCACTTACAAAGCTGAAAAGGAAAAAAAAAGAGGGATTGACTGAACTCCCCAACCAGTGTTGCGACAGAATACCAAGACTGTTCAGTATTCTGTCATCTTTAATTAAGACAAAACATAAGTCATTTTAATTAAGCTTCTGACATCTAATTGCTTTCTACTATCATTTCAAGACGTATTCACGTTCTTCATTCTATTGACTGTATGTGCAAAAATTATTTTAGGACTACAGTGGGAGCAAAAGTATAAATCAAAGAACGAAAAGGCACAACACTTTTTGCTATTTCTCCACTGCAGATATCTTGTGAATTAAACTGTCATCTCAATATTATAAAGATGGGAAATGGCAGTAGACTTGGATATACTTAGGAACTAGAATTATAATTAATGATTCAGTGAACATTTAAAGTAACATCTAATCCAGTCAGTCAAAGTTTACAATGGCAGTAAAGATAATAATATTTGCTCACAGATCTGTCAAAAAGCCTGCCCGGCTTCCCCTATAACTGTTAATTAAAAAACAACAAGCCCAACCCTGTTTGGAATGTTTTCAAATCAATAATTCCAGAAATAAGTCATTTCTGTGTGTTTAAAATGAATTTCTGCAACTTTGATTGGAAAGGTAACAATAGCAATGCATTATATTAAAATTAAAAGCCTACTGGATCTGCTGGAGCATCTAGAATACCTTTTGTCAGGCAAGGCAATAAAGGTGCTAAGTATATTTCCTAGTACTCCAACTCCAAACAGACTCTTTAGCTTATATTATGATTGTAGTGGGTCCCTTCATACATGAGATATTTTCTATCTAATAAAATCCTGTGTAGATCATAAGTGAAAACTCACCCAAGTGCCCATTTTTGCCACAATTGTGTGTGTTTGGAAGGTGAAGAACAAAACCACCTTCTAAAACAAATGTGATCATGAGAAAATGGACCCTTGCATAGTCTTCATACAAACGCAGAACATGGGCATATCGAGACTATCACTGCCATATGTAAAGTGGTTCTCAACAAAAATTTAGACTGGCAACTGTGTGGTGGCAACTGTGGAGGGGAAAATGACTAAGGCAGAATTTCTGATACTTTGGGAGAAGACTGAGCTTCATACTGGAATTTCGGACGTGCCCCAGTCAGTTTTCTCCTATCAGGTCACACCCCTAGTCAGTTTTCTAACTCTCGGAAGAAGGAATGAACCTGAAATGTTAATTGTACATGTAAGTACTGAAGAGCAAGTGGTTATAACTGAAACTGATAGCAGCCCTGCACCTTCACAACTGAAGTAACACATAATGAAAAGGCATATTATAGTACAGCACTGACGAGTAAAATGGTAGTAGGCTGGTACTGAGCCTCTTAAAAATCTCCATGATTCTTCATAACTGAGGCAAGAAATTAGCATGCTGTGAATAAATTCTACAGCATTTATTATGCTGACAGCTGAGTCATAAACATTATGCTTCACTTATGCTGTAAACATTTACATTAATTTAGCAAAATGTAATTTCAAACAGTATAGAAATCTGCTTGGAAGAATCACATTACTAATAAACACATAACAATTGAAATTTCGTAGCATAAATGATTGTCTCCCACAGCTTATCAAGTTTTCCTACAAATCACTCACGCATCTACAGTTAAAATGCTATGTTTCATTTACCCTGCTTGCATCAAGCCGGGGCGATGGCAATGTCATAGTTTTAACAAGATCTGCTTTGAAAGTGCTTATATATCCTGCCAAATTGCGGATACTCGTTCCAAGGCATTTTTTAAAATGTACACGCACTGGCTTGGATCCTAAGAACCCATTGCCCAAGCAGGAGGCACTGCTGCTTGTGCAAGGGGGGAGGGTTCCTTCTATGCAGAGCTGAAGCCCTCTGCATTGTATTGCGTGCCATTCCAAGGGACCCTCCCATGCTTAGGAGCAGTTTTTCTGGAGGTCTGAAAGACTGCAACAGGAAGGGAGACAGCAATACTCTGCCGTTCAAGCGGAACTCTGCCTGTGGCTCCAGAGGAATACTCTCAATTCAGCAATTTTCAGTTAGTATCCTGACATTATGGAAAGGATTTCTGCTCACTGACAAGTTCTAAATAAAACGTTTTATCTGCAAGCTTGTTCAGCAATTCACTATAGCCTTTTCATCAAAAGACATTATAATATTCCTTCTGTCAGAAATGGGTCCTTGCAGAAGGTATTTTCTCTTTTTCTCTTTTTTTTAACCTTGTCTGAATAGACAAGAATAACAGGAAAATGCAATGTATCGAAAATATTTATACATATTATGCCAGTTAACCAGTGAGTCATGATTATTCGGATCCATCAAGATGTGTTGATCCCTTCTAGGAAGCGGAGCCTGTTATCTGGCCGTTATATTCTGCTGTTTCCATTTTCAGAATGTAGGGGATGATGCTATCAATTGGAACATTTCCAATGAGCCCAGTAAAAAAGAGTTCTTCAGTAATGCTAGAGCTCATTAATCTAAGTGCTGGGAGGCGAACTAAAATACGGGCTAGCCTGCAAAAGAAAATCCACAGAACATGAAAAAATGCAACTCATTCTTAAGGCTGAATAAAAACATCTGATCAATCTGAATGAATGTGTTTCCTTATTTTTGCATTTAGTAAATGAAATGAAAAAATCTCAACGGTTGTACTCCACTGAATTTTTAAAGCTGTGAACACATTTTTTAAAAAATGTGTGTGCGCGCGCACACACTCAAATCTGTTTTTCAGACCGCAGCCCAGTCTGTCACTCAAAACAAAACAAATAAATTAAGAACTCCTCCAGGCATGCCCAAGCATTCAGATATGTCTACAGTAATTCTCTGAAACTTACTCTTAGTTTATGTAATCTAATAATGTCATTCTCAGTGTCCTAGAAATGTCATTGGAGAAAACTTTTGGTGAACAGAAAGGGCCTTTTAGCACCAATTGTTTTAAAATGTACCAAATCACATATCTAACGTTGGTTTAAAAACATTCAGTTAACCAGGATCACCCAGTGGGCAAGTTCCTTCCCCCTCGGCCATCATACCCCTGTGTCTTTGGGCACATGCACACGTCGGTCCTGCCCCTCCAGCTGATTCCTCCAGTTGTTGCTGGATTTCTGACATCCAACACTGCCAGCTGTCATCTTTTGGTGCCTCCCTTCCCCTCAAGCCTGCTTTGAGTTGTCGGGAGCTAGCTCTGCTGGATGCAGGGTTGCCAGGTCCTTCCTTGTCCCCAGCCCCGCACTCCTGAACTCCAAGCAGTGAATTCGCTGCTGGAGTTCAGGCACCCCCCCCCCCCCCGCTTCTTGCAAACAGCATTTAAAGGGACCCTGAAGGCTGTTTGCAAGAAGTGGGGGCTGTGCACGCCTGAACGCCAAGCAGCGAATTCACCACTGGAGTTAGAAGGGCACTCAAGAAGCAGTGTTCCCTCTAAGCTGAGTTAGTGTGAGCTAGCTTACACTTTTTTAGCCTCCAGCTCACACCTTTTTGTCTCAGCTCAGGAAGGTTGGCTCCAGAGCAAACTAATTTATGCAGTAGCAAAATCACTCACTCACAACCTTAATGCCAGTAGCTCACAAAGTAGAATTTTTGGTCACAAGACTCCACAGCTTAGAGGGATCATGGCTCAAGAGTGGTACCTTCAATACATCTCCAACAATCCCCCTATTTGCATGTTTCCCAAAGGCTCATGGGGATGCTTTTGAAAGATTCTCCATGACCTATGTGGTATACAGCAGAACTGGGCTACAGGAAAGAAGAGTCTGTTTTATACCCTGCCCTTCACTACCCGAAAGAGTCTCAGAGTGGCTTACAATCCCTTTCCCTCTCCACAACAGACACCCTGTGAGGTAGGTGGGGCTGAGAGAGCTCTCTCGAGAATAGCCCTTGAGAGAACAGCTCTGGAAGAATTTATGATTGACCCAAGGTTACATCAACAGCTGCATATGAAAGAGTGGGGAATCAAACCTGGTTCTCCAGATTAGAGTCCACGCTTATAACCACTATACCAAAAGTGCTGAAGGTACCACTCTTGAGTGCCCTTTTAAGCTGCCGTGGTTACTCTTGGAGGTGGGGCAGGAGCCCGCAAAATTGGGGGTCCCCCACCCACACCTGGGGACTGGCATCCCTAGCTGGATGGGTCATGGGCTTGCTTGTCTGCCCACTGCATAGGATGACTCTGTGGTATGGGGGAAAGGGTTCCACCAGGTGTGAGGACTGTCACCACAGTGTTCCCACTGAGTGGAGTCTGACTGCTGTGGGTCATTCTGGGTAGCTAGAGCAATAAGATTTATTCTGTTTTTATAGGTGCTGCAATACGATCCCTGTTATTTTATCTCATAGATGGCTTTATGAATATGGATACATCTTTATCCTATCAATGTGATATGTGTTACTTGTAAAGTTTATAGGCACTGGACATCATCCATCATCCACCTGAAGTTAAGCATTTTTAGATGCTACTGATTTCAAATAGTAATAAACGCAGGGTTATGTCTCTAACAATCACGAGCGGTTTTGAGTAGTTTCAACAGTTAATAGATTTCAATTTGTTATTTTTATTACTGTTTTGAAGGGTCCATTTGGGAATCACTACATACATAAATATTAAACATGTAAACAAAATACCTGTAAGTATCTTCTGGATATGTTTTCTGAACATAGTCTTGTAATTCCATTTGAGCTTTTTCTTGGAATTTTTCTATCTGGCTAGAACTTGTTAGACCAGGGTGATCTAGAAAAAGGGTAGAAAAAGTGTATTCACTTGCACCAAATAACAATGAGATTAACTATCCTAGGAAAGTCTACTTAAAAGTATATCCCATTTTATTCTGTTGGGATAACTCCCAGGACAGAGGATTGTAGCTAGAGTCTTCTACTTAAAACAGTTCAAAATTTGTGTGCCTTAAATCTGACATTAGCTGTACAGAATATTCCAAACCTCAGTCATTCCAAGACACTGAATGGTGAATATAAAAGGAAATGGAGAAAAATAATAGAATCAGCTACTTAAAGACTGCAGTTATACAAAGTTGATGTTAATTTCTATAACCAATAATTTGTAAAAAAATTATTATTATTATTATAAAGTTAATATAATGGACAGCAAGACTACTATTGTTACTAATCATGATCACAGGTCTAATTTCATTTTTAATAATGCATGCACTTTGCAGTTGGCTGTTCAGAAAAATTAGGTTTTGGTGGCAAACAGCTGCCATGTATCAAAAAGAAAGGTACTTAGACATAAGGTACACTGGCTATAAAACTGATTTAAATCAGTGTTAGAACTGTTTATTCCCCCCCTTCAAAAATGGTCTTGTTTCTGTATTATTATTATAAACTGGGAATAAGGCCCGTTGTGGAAAAAAATACAACAAACTCTAGAAAGAGGCTCTGGCCTTAGGCACTCAGCGTCAATTTGCTGTGGCGATTTTAGCAGGGTATAATGACACAGAGCTTACCGTTTTCTCCAAGGAAACTGATCTCTACCATCTAAAGAGCAGTTGTAATTCTGAGTGATCTCCAGCCCTCCCCTGGAGATTGGCAACAATAGTTCCCCAGGAGGAAATGGCTGGTTTGGAGGGTAAAGTCTATGGCATTGTACCTGTCTTGGAAGTAGCAACCCTATCTCCTTCCCAGCCAACCATCAATGTACCGTGATCTACCCCTCTGACTTCTGCTTTCCATCTCCCCCCCACACCTGGAGCCTCTACCTAGGAAAAGTAGTCTTTCTCCTCCTCATTGGGGACCGAAGCAGGAAGGAAAGCAGCCTCAGCAGGATATAATGACTCAGAGTCCACCCTGCAAAGCAGCCATTTTCTCCAGGGGAACTCATCTCCGCCATCTGGAGAGCAGTTATAATTCTGAGTGATCTCCAGCCCTCACCTGGAGAATGGCAGCAATGGTCCCCCAGGAGGAAATGGCTGGTTTGGAGGGTGGAGTCTATGTCATTGTACCTGTCTGAGGTCCCACCCCTCCTCAAACCCCACCCTCTTCAGGCTCCACCCCTCAAATCTCCAGGAATTTCCCAACCTGGAGGTGGCAACCCCAACCTACCGTTATCTGCCCCTGATCTCTACCATCTGGAGAGCAGTTTTAATTCTGAGTGATCTCAAGCCCTCACCTGGAGATTGGCAGCAATGGTTCCCCAGGAGGAAAAGTACAGTCTTTCTCCGCAGTGGAGACCAAAACAGCTTACATCATTCTCCTCTCCCCCTTTTGATCTGTACAACAACCCTGTGAGGTAGGTTAAGCTGAAAGTCTGTGACTGGTCCGAAATCACCCACTCTTCCACAGCAAGAGCCTGGGTCTGGCAGACCCTGCTTTGAAGCGCTAACTGCTACGCCTAGGGTAGCCAACCTCCAGGTGGAGCCTGAAGATTGCCAAGTATCACAACTGAACTGCAGACAACAGATCTCTCCCCCCCCCCGGAGAAAATAACTGCTTTGGAGGGTGGGCTCTATGGCATTCTATTCAGCTGAGGAGTCTCCCCTCCCCAAACTCTGGCTTCTGTAGACTCCACCACAGACTATCCAGGGATTTCCCAATCTGGAGCTGGCAACCCTAGTCAGAACTGGCCCCGATGAGTTCCCCACAAAGGCCTGAAAAGGGCTTCCTTCCTTTTTTACCAACAGAACCAAGCTTAGTTGCCTGGGAACAGCCACTGAGGGAAAAGTTAGTCCCACAGGAGCCAAGAAAGAGAAGTGTCTTCATTAGGAGAGACAGCCATTCTGATAGTTTATTCTGTGAGGAAAGAATGTCCAGGCTGGCAGTGGGTGGGGGAGAGGAGCAGACCCAGGACCCAGCCAATGGCACACGAGTACTCTTGAGTGGCGCTGATGGATCAATGGCTGATGGAGTACACTGCACAGCCAATGGGAGAGCTGGAAATGGCCAACATGTAAGGTAATTATGTATATAGGATATATCTAATTCTCAATATGGTCAAATCTGTAGATACTGAAATCTAGAGACTGGAGTCATGAACAGGAAAGGGAGATCTTTCTACAAACCTGAGGAAAGCCCCAGGTTTGCAAACAAACCAACCAGGGGGTTAAAATTCTCCCAAATAGTAAAAGCAGGGCCTGTAGCTTTAAAAAACAAATATCCCAGTAGCCATTACTAGGCAGTACTACCAGCCTTCAAGTTCCAGTTTCTGTCAATAAAAGGCAAGGGGAGGGGGCAGGGCTCTTTCCAAGGTTTTCAGCCTTGAGGGGGGACTCCTCAAGGCCAGACCTGTCAGTAATATAAAAATACCCCAGGAACAACATATTTGTATCTGTAAAACTTCTGTGGAGGATCTCTTTCATTATTTCATGGTCTGCCCATTGTACTGGGAACCAAGATGTACATTCTTGACTGCAATAATAGATCAATTGCAATTTTTTTCTGACATTGATAAATTAATTTGTCAGACACAGACCCTACAGTTTCCTATAGGGTACCACTCTTCACCTTAGCAGCTAGTAAAATCAGGGCCAAGAACATAGAAAAATGAAATTGAACTGTAAAACAGCAATGTAAAACGGCACTGTTTGAGGCTGTGTATGTGTTTCTGAATACTGTATGTGTTTAAATGCTGAATGTGCAGATTTTTAGAGGTTATTATATTTTAAATCTAATTTAAATTCCAGTGCTGTAAGTTGTCTAAGTTGTATATTGTTTTAAATTGTAATGGCCAATGGCTACACAATATTTTACGACTACTACTACTACTACTACTACTACTACTACTACTACTACTACTACTGGATGACTCACTACCACATGACTTGCATGACTCATCCAGGCCTGGCTTCTTGTTATTGTCCAACAGCAGCCACCCCATGAAAGCCATTATGGTCTAGTGCAGGGATGTCAAACATAAGGCCCGGGAGCTGGAGCTGGCCCATCCAGGGCTCTTATGCGGCCCATGAGCAACTGATGCAAGGGAGGGAGTGCTGGGAGGGAGTGCTGGGGGGGGAGTGGGCAGAGTGGCTTTAGCACAGCAGAACAACCTCACCTGCAGCAGTCAAGCATCATGGGAGCATCTGCCCAGCATCGCACTGCTGCCTCTCCGGTCTGCCTCTGTGGGTTTTCCTCTGCACCCCCCTCCCACTCCAGGAGGCCTTGCACTGAGGACACACCAACTCAGAGCTTACCAGCTGCTGTCCTTTATACAGTTTCTATCTCCTGAGGTGCTGCTCGTTGGGGTGTGGGGGTGCAGGGGTGCAGGCAACGCAAAGACAACAGGATACAAGCTTGCAGGAACTGATCTGAAACCTCTCGGCTTCTCAGCATTTATTTTATACACCTTTCTTCCCCCTTCTCCCTCCCTCTCCCTCCGTAAGGGAGTTACAAACATTCGAGCATCCTTTTGGAATGTGTGTGTGTGTGTGTGTGTGTGTGTTTCCAGGCAGCTGTCCGCTATCTGCCTCTCCCCCTTTCTCTCAAGGCTAACTGACGTAGTTTAGGCAGTCACCAGACTTCTCTTAGCACACAAACACTTCTGGGTTTCCAATCTCCAGGCAGGAGATTCCTGCACTGCCCTACAATCTCCAATACCTGGCATTACATTTTATGGCACACATGGTCTGGCCAAGAGACATTTATGTCAGATCCGGCGCTTGTAACAAATGAGTTTGACACTTCTGGTCTAGTGGGTAGAGTTTTACAATATGATCTGGGAAACTCTGCCATGGAAGCTCATTGGGTGACTTTGAGCCAGACACACATTATCAATATAATCTACCTCACAGGGTTCTTATGAGGATAAAATGGAGGAGAATTATGTAAACTGCTTTGGGTTTCCACTGTGGTGAAAGGTGCAATATAAATGAATAAATATCAATATAGCCAACAACAGGGAAGGTAAATAAAGGATATGCTGGTTGTTGGGTGGGTCAGAGAGAAAGAAGTGGAGAAACATGAGAATATGAGGTTTGCCAGGAAGTGGAAGAGAGGAAATAGTGTGGTTAGGGGGGGATACAGGACAAAGTAAGGTGCCTTTTGCAAGTCCTTATGGATCCCCCACTGCAGAACTCAGCTTGGTGGCTGCCATTGCATAACTGGGCCATGGTTTTCCTGTGCAGAAGCTGATGGGGTGAGGGAAAGCTGAAGATGGAGGAAAAGATAAAGGTAGGTTGGTTAGTGGATGGGAAAGAGAAACAGAAGCAGGAAAAGGACAGAGGCAAAGAGGAAACAGTGGAGGGAGATAAATTAGATGCTCATTGCAAGTCCTTGTAGGTTCCCCGCTTGCCAATATATCTAAGCCCCAGGTTTGCAGAAAAATCTGAAGTCATATATGTGTGTGTGTGTGTGTGTGTGTGTGTGTGTATATATATATATATAGGGGGTGGGGATTAAAGCCCTCAAAAATGATAAAAGGAGCACCTGTAATTTTAAGAAATGAATGCCCTCAGTGTCTGTTCCTAGGCAACCACAACAGTACCTTCAGGTTTTGGTTTCTATCAGTAAAAGGCAGGGGGAGAGGCCTTTCCAGGACAGTTTTGGCCTTTGAGGGAGGATTCATTGGGGCCAGGCCTAGCAGCAAATCACTAGAAGACTTCCTACCATGTGACTGGCATGACTCACCCACACCTGGCTTCTTGCTAGTGTTCAACAGCAGCTAGCTCATGAAAGCCAGTGTGGCGTAAGTTTCAGACTAGGATCTCAGAGACCCAGGTTCAAATCCCCACTCTGCTGCAGAAGTTCACCGGATTACTTGGGCCAGTCAAACATATTCAGCTTAATTTACCTTGCTGGGTTGTTGTGAGAATAAAATGGAGAAGAAGAGAATGATGTAAACAGCTTTGGACCCCCATTGTGGAGAAAGGTGGGATATAAACGAAGTAAGTAAATAATAAATAAAGGTGAAGAAGGGGGGACAGATAGGAGGCAGGTTGGCTGATATGTGGGGATGAGAGAAGGAAGCAGGGAAAGCAGTGAGATATGGAGGCTATGAGGAGAAGTGAAAGAGGAAATAGTGTGGGGAGGAGATATAGGTTGGTAAGTAAGGTACCCAACACTAGCGCTTGCAGGTTCCCTTCCATGCAAATGGGCTTGGTTTAGCTGGTACTACACAACTTGGCCAGAGTTCTCCCGAAGAGAGGCTGTCAGGGGGAATTAAGGAGGGCAAGCTGAAAACAGGGACAAAAAAAGGGGGTTTGGGGTGATGGGCACTGTTCCCTTTAAGCTGTGTGTGTGAGTGGCTGCTCATTAACACAGGAAGCCCCGCTCAGTAGCAACCTGGAGCAATGCAGGGTCTTGCACTGCCCGTTGCCTACTTTAAGATTACAGCAGTTTTTTCTGCTCATGATGTGAACTGCTGTGCTCAGTAGGGGGGAAAAATTAGAGGGAAAATTCGTGGTGGGTGGGAAGGAAAGAAGGGGGCAGCAAACAGGGACAGGCTATTTGGGCTGCCAGGGAAGGAAAGGAGGAAATAGTAGGGGAGTGGTAAATGAGAGGCCCCCTGCAACTCCATGCAGGTTCCTCACTTGTAATAACAATAATAAGACTTTCCCTAAATGTTTAGCATATAGTGCATACATTATCTAAATAATCGTTGCAACAGGTAGTTTTACTGTCTTCTGGTTTTTATGCTTTTATGGCGGGGGGGGGGGCCTGTGGCTTAGTGATGGAGCATGTGCTTGGCACGCAGAAAGTCCCAGGCTCAATTCCCAGCAGGTCCATTTAAAAAAGACCAGGTAGGTGGTGATGCGAAAGACCTTTGCCTGAGATCCTGGAGAGTTGCTGCTAGTCCACACAGACAATACTGATTTTGATGGATCAAGAGACTGATTCAGTATAAGGTAGGCTCATGTGTTCATAAGCTTTCATTTACTGTAGATCTACTATTTATGTTATAACGTTCCCTTCTTTGTATGATGTTTTACACAGCAGTCCAGTGAAGAGTGATTCTACTCTTAAGTCCATTTATTTTAATGGATGTAGCCTGGAAACCTGCATAAGATTGGAATGACAGACTGTGCCTGTTTTAGACTTAATATATGAATTTTTTTTGTTTTGTAAACCTCCTCAAATACCACTTTATGATAAAAGGGTCAATATAAACTTTCTAAATAAATTAATTGTGCTGTTCTACACATTACAGATGAATGGGCTGAACATGGTAGCTTGCCAAAGGCCAGAAGGCAGACTATCCATACAGCAATGCAAGAAAACGAGTTACCAAATGTACTTCCAACATTCCTACACGTTCAAACATCTGCATTCTTCCTCAGTGGAATGAAGACGAGATTGTCTCCACTTCTGTGATATGGGGAGAGCAAACAGGGTAACCTGGCAACCATGCTCAGTACCTCCTTCTTGGAATACTTCCCTGTCCTGACTGGGGAAGTCACCTCCCAGCTTACGTGCAAAAATTTCCCATAAACACACTGCCTAGCTTGAGGCAGGGAATATTTCATTGTCAACAGAATCTTTCCCCTCTGGAAGCTGTGTTTTGCTCTTAACTGCTAGGAAAGGCCCTGACCTGGGATAGCCTAGGCTAGCCTGATCTTGTCGGATCTCAGAAGTTAAGTTAGTAATTGGATGGGAGACCTCCAAGGAATACCAGGGTCGCTACACAGAGGCATGTGATAGCAAGCCACCTCTGAACATCTCTTGCCTAGAAAATCCTAAGTCAGCTGTGACTGGATGGCAAAAAAAGAGAGGAAGAGCTTGACCCAGTGTTCCACTGCCGTGGACATATGACAGCTTTAATAAACACACTGTTATTTGATCAATGCTTCAGCTGGTTCATGTTTGAGAGATGTCCTGTGTCAGAACAGTTTGTAAGTTTCAAAAGACTCACTGGGGATCTGTTTCCTCACCCTTCTGGTTTTATGGTCTGCTAATTTCACTGATTGTCATAAAAAGCAACCAGTGGACAATGGCCTTAAATTGTACTGCATGCAGGGCCGGATTTAGACTTGCTGAGGCCCTAAGCTATACAAAACCCAGAGGGCCCCTACTGTTTTAAATTACATCAGCTGGTCTCAGAAAAATTTAAAATATATACGCCTTTTTAATATTTGAAAATATATTGTCTTTTAATTTTTATTAAAAAATAATAAAGGATGTGTTTACAAAATCACAGAAATAATTACATAATTAAAGGGTTTTAAACTGACAAATAAGGCTCCAGCAGATTGCGAGGCCCTAAACTGTAGCTTATTTAGCTTATGTGTAAATCCGGCACTGACTGCATGGAAGCTGTTTCCATACAACAAACCATTCCTCTGGATTGCCTAAGTATCAGCTGATTGTTCCATGGTGAAAGTAGCCTCAGAATTTTATTTCTTTACTTATAGTCCATCTTAAACATCCAAAACTCAGGGAATTTAAATGGTCTTGTAGATATCACCTGCTTTTATAACTCATTGTCCTTTTGAACCAATTACAAGGACTGGGGAAATCCTGTTTACCTTTTGTTTTCTCAATGTTTATTGGAAAGTAGATCCACAGAGTAGTAGACTTTCAGGTCACTTTTGCATTTTCCACCATTTGGGGCGATTGTCTTAATAAAAAACGTTAACACAAAAATTCTTTTCAGCCACTTTAAAAGCTAAAGGACATATTTCTGTTCACCATTCTTTAGTCCAAGTCCAACATAAAACATTGATAATTTTGCAAACAGAGCCTCCCCCCAAAAAAACAGGTTTTGTCCAACAGGTGTCCTGAGAACCATTGTTCAAAACCTATCATTCAGATAGTTTTTTCTTGCAGAAGTTATGCCAGTTAATAGTGGCTGCAACTAGCCACCTCCCAAGGCCTTTCCCCCCCAGGATTGTTGGTTTGTGGGCAGACTACCACACAATGCTGGCAGAAGATTGTGTATGTGGGAAAACCACTGGCCTACTGGATGCAACCCATAAGCTTTACATTCTCTACCCTTATGCTAGAGCAATCCTTAAGTATCATGGTATTGTAGCCCACTAAATATTTTGTGCTATTTGAGTTATTTTAGATGTGATATGTAAGAAAACAGAGTGAAGGGAACTGAGAATATTGCTCTACTAAGAAAGAGCTGTAAATATGATAAAATAAACTATGCTGAAATCAAGAGTCAGCTTATTATTAACTGAAATGTTATAAAGTTTCTTCTCAGAGATCCATAGTCCACACAGAAGTAGAGTGACATCACCAATCAGTTTTAATTCAGCTAGTGACAAAAGAGTAAATTCACCATCACAATATTCACGATGTCAAGAGAAGGTGAGTGTAATAATTACCAAATGCCTTACCAGGACTAAAGAGGACTATAGCTTTAAGGTAAGCATATTCATATCCATCAATATCAAGCTTAGCCATGCTGTTACAGAACTCCTGAAGTTTCCAGATGTGTTCCATCACTTGCTTTATTCGGTCTCCGGAAAGTTTATCTACAAGTAGATATTGCACAGTCTCTTAAGAAAGCATAAATATATTTGAAAGTTAACAAATGTCTAAACTTCGTTAGAACAAAATGACCTTTCAGCTGGCTCAGCTCATGCTTGTAGTTTGTCATGAATCATGGGTCCAATGCTGGACAGCACAAGTACTTTCCCATATGCCTGGTGATTCAATGGGCCACAACTTACTGTTACATCTAAATTGGCAGACTGTTGTTTGGCTTGATAATTAAAGAGGAGATGCAGAAGGAAAACATAACAATAGTTGGTCAGCATTTTCAGAGCTATCTGGGACTTGAAATATTTCCAGACCCCTTTCATGTCTTCACTCCCTCCTCTCCTGTGTCCCTCCCCCTTTCTTTCCTGACACTTCAAGTGACCCTTTTATGTGCCATAATGTTTTATAAAGCATGTATATTTAAAATAAATTTTAAATACATGTGGTTTGTGCGTCTCTTCCAAACCAGAATTGTAAACATATCTCAAAGTGTGATTTTCAATTCTGGTTTGGGAGGCAACTCATAGTTGGCTGATCTGAACGGAAAAGCCAATTATGGATGCAGAAGCATTGGAATTAATCAGAATGCACAAAGGAAGGAGAGAGAACATGAAAGGCTCCCGTAACACCAAACTATACCTTGGTATTATATGTGATCAAGGCCACTGATTTTTAACTTTCAAAGAAGAAGCTTCCAAATGTATTACAGAGGCTTTGGGATATTAGGAAGCAAATATAGACAACTGAGCAACTTGAAATTTGCAGCCAAGAAGACAGATTATATAGTTGTTTGAAATACAAAGGTTATGCTATGATGACTGCACCCCCCCATATGTTTAGAAATTTGCAGTTCATTTGCTTGGTTAGGAAAATGTTTGCTTTACATTAACAGAACTAATTCTGTTAGCCAAGGTCCTGTATTTCAGATGACATTCACTTTGCTGACATTTGCCTGAACTTGGGAATGTTTCTTAGTTCTTTAGATTAGAATCAACAGCATCTTCACATCAGTATCTCTGTACTTTTTAACTGAGTTTTTTTGAATAAACCTTCCCTATTCCACAGAATCTGCCATAAGCCTGAAACTTACTCTGTGTCATTGTGTTAACTGAGCAGGCAGTGTTACAAATGAAGGAACAGTGCACAGCGTAATACCAAGTGGGAGATTCTAGTTGGGGGAACGCAAGGCTAAAGCATGCAAAACAAAAAATAGACTATCATAATGACTATGATTGAAGAAAAATCAAACCTGTACTGTAATTTTTAAGACATTTTACACTGGCCTTTAGAGAACAGAGTTAGTTCAGTGAACTGAATTTGGACAGGTTTATCAAAAGACTCATATTTAGTATGACTTTTTTTGGTGTTTGTTCATTCTGTGGTACTTGATTAATACAAGTCAATGCTGCATAAAACGGAAGAAATGTGTTATTTATATATTTAAAGTGGACACTGAAGAAAACAATTCAAGACCTTATGTCTTATGTTCTCTGTAAATGACCCTGTATATTTCACTATGGGTTCAACATTTCATCTTAATCACTATTGCTAGTAACTGTATAGATCTTTGCTTTTCTTTGTATTTTTGGCTACCATAATGTTAAACTGCTCTCCCCAAGCTACGTAAATTAGGTGTTCCACCAACTGAAGGTCACAATTTAATCATTAATTTCATTTGATTACAGAAAAATGATGATTTATCTATTTATTCTGATTTACAGGGAGTAGGCAAGATATGCTAAATAGCATACCCTGTTCTGGGCCACTAATGTCTCATTTGAATAAAAAAACAGCACCTCTCCAACCTTATAGTTGCAGCACCCTGTCTATTGTGATCCTTCACCTTCTAGGTGATCACTCCACTGTGTCTACTGTTCCCACAAATCTGCCTTAAAGCCCCTCCAGTTTGGGATACTGGAAAATCTACATCAGTTATGCTGTTTTTGAGGGCCTTGCTTGGGGATAGAACCTGCCCATTATAATTAAGTCTGAAAGGATTTAACAAATTAAATCAGAAAATGTTGGTAACTGCTAATTTTACTTTTCTAAACCCAAACTAAAACACAATAATAAAGCTAAAAACAAACTCACCATGCTGAAAAGATTTGCGGTTGGTCACAAATTAACATTCATTGGATAAGAGTCTGTTTTACCCAGAGGTGAAAGTGGGCAGGAACACAATGGAATTTCACACGAACACTTTGCCCGTGTTCATTACCAAGCAGCAAACATTTTGCACTAGCCACGTAGCTGATTATGCAGTCTAGAATCTCTGCCTCCCACAACTATTTTCCAACTGCGAACTGTTGTTGATTCCATTTAGTAATGAGCCCATAAGTGGTCTGAAAGGTATATACATTTCTCTGGTACAGCCACTCCAGAGCATTAAATAGCTGTTCAATGGCTTTTAAATAGTAAATGCCTGGTTTTCCACCAAATACTTAATATTGTATATTTTAAACAGATTACCTTCCTGTGATCATTAAAAAATCTGAGAGTCACTAGGAAGCAAATGCCTACGTGCAGGAGAATAGATATTGTAGTAGTCTAATTTTCTTACTGCTGAGCAGACAAAGTTTTCACCACCGACACATCATAGCAGCTATACACATAGCTTGAAACTCTACAGGGTTCTGGATATTTCATCTCTGTTTGCAAATTCATTAGATGTACAAGGGGAGGAAGAAACTAAGCATCCTTTTATCATCTTGTTCCAACTGCACTGATGCTTTCCGTACACAGTAGTTATACAACTAGTGCAACGAAGTTAGTAAATTACCAACGTTAGAACGAGGAGAGCCATAAATAGTTCTCCTCCATACCTTGTTGCTGAGGAAACAATATTTCTGGACCATACTTTGTCAAAATGTATTCAAGCACCCCAACCCCAACCATTTAGCATCATAATCTTATACACATTTATTTGGACATAGTTCCTATTGATATAAGACAGCAATTTAGTAAGTCATAGAACAAAAGCCTTAAAAACATTACCATGCACATACCTTCCTGTATGCTGTTCTGCAGGTGGTTGACAATGGCTGCCAGGATAGTCGACAGGCTCATCACCTGTGCGCACTGTGCAAGGCCTAAAGTGAACAACTCATTCCAACAGGCACGCACAAGGCTTGTGTTACAATCCTGCCTAAAAAAAAATACAAAAAGCTCAAGATAACATTGTGTCTAAGATCATTATACTTCATTTTATGAGGAACTGAACATTAGGCCCCAGTGGAGAACTTACTGTAGACAAGTTATTTTTCAGCTGGCTATATTGTTTGTCTCTGTTAAAAACACCTGAGAATTTATGCTAGTTTGGAGAAGGGCAGATTTCTCCACTATAACATTTATGGATGGAAGCCCTAAAAACTGGACAATGTGCCAACTATTTTGTGGATGGAGAAGGTAGTAAAGACCTTCTATTACTTCCCCTGACATGTTCTTTCCTAGTTCATTACCCAACATTCCAAAGATAGGGTTTTTGGGGGGAGGGTTGCACACAATTTAGCAGGTATGAATGATAACATAGTAAAAGTAAGATTATATAAAAATGTAAAATTGAGAAATTAGTGGAAAGGAGGCACTATATGAACATATAGGTTATTAAAATACCATGAGATTGGGTTTTTAAAAAAGTATTAGGGGACACACACTAAAATATGTCATTGTTTCCACAGGGAAACAGCCCAGTTACCCCCCAAAATAACCCCTCAAAAGTTGGCAGCACACTTTTGTGCTGTTCTCCAATGAATGCACAGGGTGGCTTGTGTTCAAGAATTCTGTGGCACAGATGCATTGACAGTGCTGAGCATTCCCCATTTGTAAAATGGGAGAAATGTTTACTCATCTTCTGCTGTTGCATGTCTGTGCACTTTTACGGTTTGATGTACAGCTAATGTAGCATTGTTGTCTAACAGTACAATACTAAGCAGAGAAACCCCTTTCTGAGTCCACTGAAGGGCTTAGAAGAGTGTAACTCTGCTTAGGGCTGTGCAGTACAGGACTGAGCTACAAATCAGATTTTAATCTCACCTTGGTCATGAAATCATTAGGTGGCCTTAGCCTAGCTATTGTGCTACTTACCTGCAATACAGGTGTGATAATATTGACCTACATTGATAAGGATTACATGAGAAAATACCTGTGAAGTACTCTGTTCAAGAGTGCTAAGTAAACACTAAGTACCATTCAAAAACTGCAGCCTCTGGTTTGGCTCACATTCTTCAATAATCTGCTCTGTAAGCATCTGTTTCCTGCTGTGGGTGTTTGGGACCATATTGCTTAGCAGCAAGGAATATGAAACATCTAATAGCTGTGTACCCAGATAATGTATCTGTAGAACTCTTTTCAATATCCCTGTTCCCTTATCCCCTTGCAGGTGCAACGGTGGTCCTACCTTCCAGAAAGTAGCAGCCAATGGTCAGGTGCTATTCACATCACAGAAATTCATTCCCCCCCCCCACAGAATGTGAAAAAATATTGATCCTAGACTGTGATTTTCCCAGCCTATTTTTTCTATGCATATTTCTATGCTTCCTCATCCGAGTCCTGCTCAAGGCAGTTTACAGCTTAAACCCCCCCAACATGCTAGCACTTTATGATATTGTACTGTTTTATAATGATCTGTTTTTAGATGTTTTTATGGTCATTTAATTGCTATTTATGTATTTACTTTCATGTAAGCCGCCCTGAGAGCCTGCCGTGGTGGGGAGGGCAGGGTATAAATTGGATAAATAAATAAATAAAAATAAAATCACCACAATATGAAAAACAAACCCATTAGAAGTAAGCAGCGTAAAAAAAACTAACCACAAACAGAAGCAGACCATTAAAAAGCTAATAAGATAAACCCCCTAATTAAAAGCCTGGGTAAAAAGATGCCTAGTGCCTAGAAGAAAGTAAAGTAGGTGTCAGACAAGCCTCAAGGGGGAGGCCGGTACAAGGTTGAGGTGTCACTACAAAACAGGCCCTCAGAGGACTGGATCCTCGACAATAGTTTTATACATCCTCATCAATCAGGTTTTAGGAAAGGTCTAGGGACAATAAACCACTGCTATACCCTTTACCAACTGGCCGAATCAGCAATGCCGGGCTCTACTAAAGCTCCATATGCAGTGTTTGTCTATCTGGCATCGGCCTTTGATTCGACTGATAGAGAGAGACTTTGGGCTAAGCTGTTGAAGACCCACATAGACAAGAGGTTGCTGTACTTACTGAGATAACTCCACCAAGATACCCATGCAAGGATAAGAGTAGGCACCTCTGGCTCTTTAACCAGAGAAATTCCTACAGGAAAGGGAGTAAAGCAGGGCTGTGTACTAGCTCCTACACTTTTTAACTTATATATAAATGACATTGTCCCCAAACTAAGCAGTCTAGACTTTGTACCACCTAAGTTGGGTCAACAAAAAATATCATTACTGCTTTATGCAGACGACATGGTTCTATTCTCTCTAACAAGAATTGGTCTAAAGAGACTCTTAGATAGTTTGTGAGATTAATGTAAGGAGGAGAGGCTATCTATTAATTACTCCAAAACCAAGGTAGTGGTATTCCGTAAAAGACCCAAAAAACATGTATGGAATATTCAAGGTGTCCCAATAGAACAATGTAAGATATACAAATAATTGGGTCTAATATTTAGCGAAACATTGAATTGGAATGCCCATGTAGCCTCCATCAAATCAACAGCAACTAAGTTACTGGGAGTAATTTTGAGATTTTATCGAACTAAAGTGGGCTTTTTAATAGAGCCAGCTGTTAAGCTCTTTATCACCAAAGTAGTATCTCATCTGTTGTACAGAATAGAACTTTGGTGTTGGAAGGAGGAAATATTGACCAGCCTGGAGACAGTGCAAAATCTTTTCCTGAGGCGGTTATTGGCGCTGCCCAAGGGTTCACCTGCGGCATTAATGAGGGCAGAAACAGGTATTCCATCACTAAGGGCTCGAGCGTACTTAGCGGTCTTGAAATAGATGCTGAAATTTCAACACCTTCCAAATGAAACATTTAGCAAAATCAGTTACTTTGATTTACTAAGTAATGATAAACCTCACATCGAATTTTATAATAACATCATCTCACGGTAATGTGTGCCTGACGACTTATCCAGATCTTTTGTAAATACCCAGCACTTGCACCAATGGGTATTTAATAAGAATGCTCTTTTTGACAAAAGGTTAATACTCCAGTCAAAATCTGTACCATGGTATCATAGGATTAAAAAAGATCACTTAAGAACCTCTTTTTTGTCAACCATTGCAGTCCACAGTTTAAGAGTGGCATTTACCGCCCTTCGCTTTCAATCCATGCCCATTGAAGTGCTGCTTGGAAGGTATACCAACAAACCACAGGAACAATGTGTATGCGCTTGTGGTACCGCAGTGGAAGATCTATTTCATTACATTATGGTTTGTCCTTTATATTCAGACCTAAGAAGCAGATTCCTATCTGGAATTTTAAGCCAACTTTGCAACTTACCTGACAATGAAAAGTTGGTTGTCCTCTTGTTGGATATGTACCCCCCTGGTTACTTGCAAGGTAGCGCTTTTTGCACTTGCAGACAGAAAGTTAGATCCAAGGGTGCTTCCAGTATTGTCTAACATAGAGCTACAAAACTGGTAGCATAGCTTTTATGATTTTAAAACTTTGATTGTTTTATTTGTTCAAATGTTATACAGTCTTATTCTGAAAGCTTTGTTTTTAGAACAGTACTTTTGAACCCTACATTTATATTATGTATTTATATTTTATATTGTAACGGCCAACGGCCATATACAATAAACTTACTTACTTACTACTACTACTACTATAAAACATGCCCTGTCTCGAATAGCCACTCACCTAATCTCTGAAGGCAGAGTCACAGACAGCAGGGCCCGAGAGGCAGATCTTAACTGGCAGGCTGGATAGTATGACCCAGCTGTCTCCCTCTACATTGACTCATCTCCATAAATGTCAGCCCTCCATAAGTTGAGATTGGTTCCCCAGCTCTTATTCACAAGTGTCACTGTATGAAGATGACCACACTGGCTTCGATCCTGCAGGCAGAAGGGGGAGGGTGATTTTCACTATCCCCCCTCCACTGAAAACCTCTGACCCCTCCCCATACTGGCCATAGGAGTTGCTGTCCCACAGGAGCAGCAATTGGGAGGGGCATTTTGGGCTGCAGCAGGATGGAGGGAGGCAACAAAGTCATGCTCCACTGACAGAAATCCCTTCTGTCTGGAGAGTTTTCTGATGGACCCAGACAATTAAGTGCATGTTCATATGAGCCCTGAAGGGGATGAATAGGTGGATGTAGGTAAAGAATGTGTCTTGAACTTCTACTTCCCCCTCAGCCTGTAGGTCTAATCTAGTTTCCTACCTCCAAGGAAACAAATTATTTAATAGCAACCGTGAAGGGAAAAGACAAGCTTGCATGAGCGTTTTCCATGGCTACCTGAATACCTCCATGTGCCCTTCATTACCATGGTCAGTTTCCTCCTTTCGCAATGGAATCATGATTCCAGAAACTGAGCAAATGACTGCAACACTCACAAAGATAATGGGCTTGTTTAAACTTCATGCCTACAAAAAACCCTGAGACATTTAACACATATAATAATGAATCATCCATCCAGCTATTCATTAACATTATCCTAAAATGGTTCTGGTTTTAGGTAATGAGACAATTTCATTTTTGATAGCTAGCATTGATTGAAAGGATTCCACTCATTCCTTAGAAAACAAACAGTGCCCCCCCCCCCCAAAAAATACTATCTTACCCTAGCGCTTGAAAAGCAGGGATGGATCTAGCCCAGTGCATGGAAAGGAAAAGTAACCGGGATGCTGACTCGCAAATGTAATGCACATTCAGGTATTCTGGCATTGGAGTAGGCATTGTTAACTGCATGAGAACAGAAATGGACAAATCTGAAGCTCAATTTTAATAAATTATTTTAAAAATAATTTATACAAAAATTATGCAGACATATTATACAACATATAATCAATACTCCCTCTAAGCTGTGAAGTCTTGTGAGCAAAAAAATCTACTTTGTGAGCTACTGGCATTAAAGTTGTGAGTGACCCATTTGGCTACTGCATAAATTAGTTTGCTCTGGAGCCATCCTTCCTGAGCGAAGACAAGAACGTGTGAGCCGGAGGCTAAAAACTGTGAGCTAGCTCACACTAACTCAGCTTAGAGGGAACACTGCATATAATATACTCAAGAGGTTTTCGTTTTGCTTTTCTTACAATGGAACTATAAACATAACCCTTTTTAATTTGATGTAGTTAATATTAAAATAGTTTTTTAAAAGGTCTGATCTCACAGTGTAATGACAATGGAAATGAAGCAGTGTATATTGGCATGTCTGTGTAGTTATTCTCTATTCTTTAGGATCCGTATGAATTTAAAATAAGCTATGCAGCTCTTCTTTACATTATTGCTTAAACTAAAAAAGAGATCACATAATGTATTCTGCACAAGACTTAAGAGTCAGCTACATTCTGCCCATCCCTACTACCTCCTCCTGGCCTGCCCACCCCTCCTCCTCTTCCCTCCCTCCTTCCTTCCCCACGGCCTCTCCCTGTCACCCTCCCCACCACCTCCCTGTCCCGGTCTTGCTCACTGTCAGTGGCAGGTGTTCCTCCTGCTGCTTGCCTGCCTGCCTTGCTTGGCTGTGGTGCATCCCTGCCATTCCTGTTGCCTTTGCCTGTTCATCAGGATGCTGAGCAGGGAAACAGACTGCAAGGGTAGTGTAATTGTCTTCTAAGTCTACATACTAATGGGGTTTTACTTCTAATGTAATCTGAAAAAGATTTGGCCAAATAAATTAAGGAAGCCCATACCTTAAATGTCACGTGAGTATCTGTAAGTAGGGGTCCTTCAACTTCAATGATTGGCGTAGACTGATCTCTACTGATTACATGAATATTCCCACCACCTGTGGGATCCATCCCATCTGCCAGATTCTGAGCTGCGGCACTATCTGTCGTATTAAGTGCTTTAGCCAAAGTATCAAATGCTCTGAAATAAAAGACGCCATCTATCAAATGTGTTTCTTTCTACTTCTATTAACATATTTATATTAGGAAGAAAATGCAACCACTATTTTATTTATTATATTTTATTCCATAAATCAATCCATCAGTCTTCTTTGCATTAGCAAAGAAAAGCCAGAGCTACAGTACAGAATAAGGTGGAGATTCCACCAAGAGAAAATTAAAAGGGAAAAACATAAAATAATTCAAAAACTAAACATTTTCCAATTAGTGTTAAAATACAAATACAAAATCATCATTAAAACTGTATATCTAAAAGTAAGAGAGAAAGACCTTACAATCCAGAGACAAATAAAAGGTGACAAATAACAATTGACCCAGAGTGAAGCAGTCATGGACCCAGAGTGAAGTGGTCAGCATGCCCCATCAGCTTTTTATCCTTCACAATGGTGGCAGCAAATCTTGCCATTTGGAGAGTAATGAATTTGTCAAAGTTTCCATTTAGTATTACAAATCGAAGCTTATCGATCCATTGTTTAAAGATTATCCCATGCTTATTAACTAAAGAATCTTTTGTATTCCTCCTACCATTATAAAATTCACCATATAGCTATTTCCCCATACCTTTAAATGACTATTTCCAATATTACTTGTGCCTTGGGATATCTAACTTCGACTTCATAGATGTAATTTTCCAAGTCAGGTCAACACTTCTCATAACAAAAGGATGAGGAGTGGGGAGAAATACATACATTCACTATCAAAATAATCTGATCTTTAAAAGTCAAGAGACAAGCCATTTCTAAAGATCCTAAAGGGGGAAGCAATATTATACCACACTTCACTGATGTAGAAATCAGATATGCCAGCCCCCCACTAGGACATCCTTTAGTAGTTGGGGGGATCGCAGCATTGAGTGTGTGAGAGATCCATCTAATGTCAATTTTGATGTTAACCAGGTCTCTTGAATGAGAATTATATCATAATACCTTATAAACTGTAAGAATGTAGGGTCCTGGATTTTACTTGACCATCCAGTCACATTCCATGAGATACACTTTAAATAATGCTCGCTTTGGGTCTCTGATTATCAGTTTAGTATCTCTATTTTATCCATCTCTTTAGAATCCACTAAGCTTGATCCATTTTTATATGTGGGTGCTGAGGTCAAACTAGAAAGCTTTGTGCAGCCTACAGGATGAGGGCCCTCTGTACTGATCTCATGATCCTCTAAATAGCAATTAAAAGGCCCTTCTGCAGAGAGTCCACAGTTTATTTGATGATAAGGAGAAACACAGTATTTATATAAGACAGGTTGATTGTTAATAAGGGGTGCATCTATAGAGCTGCGGCACCATCTGTCGTATTAAGTGCTTTAGCCAAAGTACTGAATGCTCTTAAATAAAAGAGTAAGTCTATCAAATGCGCTTCTTCCCACTTCTATTAACATATTTATATTAGGAAGAAAATATAACCACAAATTATTTTATTTTATTATACTTTATTCATTTGTACCCTGCCTTTCTCCCTAATGGAGACCCAAAGCAGATTTACATTGTTCTCCTCTCCTCCATTTTGTCTTCACACCAACCTTGAGAGGTAGATTAGGCTGAGAGCATATGACTGGCCCAGGGTCACTCAGGGAGTAGAACCTGGTTCTCCCAGATACTAGTCCAACACTCTTGACCACTGCTTCACATTGGCTCTCCAATGCATCTATCTACAGATAAACCAATCATGTTTCTAAGATAGGATGCATACCGAGTTATCTCACTTGCAGACTGGTCTTCTTGCTGAACTTCAGGAGTATCACCGTTATTAAGTGACTCATTGAGACTGGCAAGTGACGTTACAACATTTGCTAGTGTTCCCAAGGCACCTTGGCTTGTCTCAGCCTATAAAAAATTATATTTGTGAAATATTAACATTATGTAAAGTTAAGACATGTTTTCTCGTGATGTAGCCAACAGACTACATCTTCATCACTGGGGTGCCCTCCATATAACTGATCGGAAGCATTTGGAATGAGTGATGCTTCTAAGGAAGAAGCGCATGGCCATCAAGGAACATATAATAAGAAACCAACTGCGTGAACAAAACATTAGTTATACAAGAAAGGTTAAGGAGCCTACCTTGGAATCTGTGGCAAGGAGCACTGTCCCATCATCCCGTATTAGTGGCTGCTGAATATTTACAAGCATTCCTGAATCAAGAAGACCAGTTGATCTGTTCAAAAATTGGAAAATGTATATCCAGGAGTAAGAAATATTATTTTATTAGAGAGCTGCACCATTTCCCATGAACAGCACTTTTATCCCACTCTGCCAGCTTCTTCCCTTCTTTGGATCCAACCAATAACTTGCAGTCCAATATCAGATGAGTAAAATTAATTTCTACATAATGTACCCTCAGAAAGTATCTCAGTACCCATACTTATATGGAATCTATTAATTAGCATACCTATTTTATGAAATTCTACCTGTTATCTATATCTCTTTACAAAGCATTATGGTTTTCCACGATATAACAGAGATGAAATGCATGTGACAAGCCTCTCCCTCATGGAGTTTATAATTTGCTTGGCCATGGTGCATCCCTGCCTTGTCTCAGCCTTAATTGTACAAACCTGACAAACATGAAAAACTTAACACAAATAAATAAAATATTACAGCTATCTTTACTGAATGGCTACATCCAATGTTCCCTCTAAGCTGAGTTAGTGTGAGCTAGCTCACAGTTTTTTAACCTCCAGCTCACACATTTTTGTCTTAGCTTGGGAAGGATGGCTCCAGAGCAAACTGATTTATGCAGTAGCTGAATCGCTTGCTCACAACTTTAACGTTGATAGCTCACAAAGTAGAATTTTTACTCACAAGACTCCACAGCTTGGAGGGAACATTGGCTACATCTAAACATAAGGGAAAAAATCCAGTTTGTTTGTGACAAGAATAAGCCTGGTTGATGCTCTCGTCCCTCCCCTTGTGAACGGAATTGCCACAGAAGACTTCCTGCTTAAAAAGAAACCAGTTTGTGATGATGTCCCAATCTGAGTGGTTTAACAAACTGCTGCTTGTTTCTTACCTATAAACCAGGATTGGAAACCATTCTGGTTTAGAACTTAGATAATAAACAAACTGAAGTTTGTTAAAGTACCTGAATAGGGGCATCATGCCAAAGAGCACATTTTATTTCAAATCTCTTCAATCTCAGTTCTATGTGTGAGGGGAAGAAGAATGGGGAGGAGCACATGAGACCAAGAATAAACCAGACAGGTTCTCAGCAACAATGAGAAAATGTGGTCATTCACATACAAAACCCTGACGGCTGAAAATTTAGTCTGGCTGCTAAATTTTAGTGCTGGCTCCTAGACCTAAAGAAAATTTGTCAAGGCCTGGTGCACAGTGTCCAAATATATACAGGAAGTACTTAAAAGCAGGAAAAATTACTTCAACTGGCCCTGAACATAAATGCATTTAATTTCATTTGAACTCTGTCTTCTATTTTTGTCAACAAAACATTTGTAATCTGACTTCCCAAGACCTCTGGACTGCACAAAATTTAAAGCCCATTTTTCACTTACCTAGCTCCATCTTTATCAGCTACAAAGGTTGGAGTTGCTATTAGAGGACTTCTCAAATCCTTTCTGATATAGATTTTTTCTGTTGAAGCAGCACAATTAGTTGGTTTCTCCCTCTGCACATCAAAAGGCTTCCTTTCACTCTGTACAGCTACACCATGGGTATAGAAATGTGAAAACAAATATTTATTCAAAAGGTTATAAAAAATGTGTAATTTTTTTTCTAAAGGAGGACTTCAAACTTGCACAGTTCTGTTTATTCCAGGCTGTGCTGGTTTTGATTCTGCTTCATAGATCAGACTCAGAAAGATGATGACTGGCAATTAGTGTTCGTAGGTTACTTAAGGTTCCATTCTATCACCCATATTTGACATTTGACATTTGACATTGACATTTAGGAAGATTATTCATGGTTCTGGAATCTACTATAATTTAAATGCTGATGACACCTAATTCTATTTTTCAGTATCAAGGAGATCTAGTTATGAACCAGTACCTGGAAAGTGTCAGCTTAATGAGTGCTACCAAACCAAGGTTGAAAGAATATGAAATAGGTTTTGATGGCCATTGTTATCTGTGTTATTTTGCTGTTTCTAGAACTGAATGCCTATGGCTAAATATTCTGCTCTATTAAATATGATATACTTACACATTAGAAATCATACCTGAACTGGTAACATATTTCTGCAGACAAATAAGATCATCAGGCTTAATAGCTAATCATAAAACAGCTTCAGATCAGTTAAGGATGGCTAGTCTTATTGTGCTTACAGTTTAGACTTTTTAAGCCTATGCTTTGAACTTTTGATCTGAACCACAAGAAAATTACTGGTTTGCTGCCTCTCAAGCCATGCCTCCCTTAGTAATGCTGTGTTCCTATGCTCTTCCCTGCTGAATGCCCTGTGTGTGTTATGTTCTGACACACTCCCCTTCTTTAGAGACCCTGCATGATATCTGACCTCAGCATGCACCTTTAACTAAGAATATAGTCTTAGCCTTTTGTTGGTGCTCTGGCTGTGCTATCATTATCTAATTCACAGATGTCACTGTGCTGAACAACCCAGCAAAAATATTTTTGCTTTGCATTAACAGAGCAATCCTAAGCAAGTCTACTCGTAACCCTATTAGGCCCATTCAGTGGGGCTTACTCCCAGGAACGTGTTCTTAGGATTGCACTGTTCATACATTTTAAATGTTCATTAAGAACATTATCTAAATAATACTTTAATGGATAAACTTTTTTTAAAAATCTCCTTTGGGATGATGAAAATTTATTTTAAAAACATAGGAAAGAAATCTTAGAAATAGAAACACAGTAGCCCCAAAATAATAATTAATACTTCACAGACAAAAAAACCATTTGAGTGCTGTAGACTCACATTCCATTTTCATGCCCATCTCAAGACATTTTTTTAGCCGACAAAACTGGCAGCGATTCCGATGGTGTTTATTGATGATACAATCCTGGTTGCTACGGCAACTATAGGTCAGATTTTTCCTCACGCTCCTTTTAAAGAAGCCTTTGCATCCCTCGCAACTGACAGCACCATAGTGACGACCTAATAAAAAAATTAAGAATACATATACAAGATGAGAGATTTTAAAACTATTTTTATAACATGCCAGGCATATTGCTCAATAATTCCTTGGGTTTCTTATTCAGTTCTTTCACACTTCTGCTAGCACTAAATAACACTCAGATGTAATTTAAGGAGATTTTTATAAAAGGAAAATCCTCTATGATCAAAGCAAGTGCCAACATTTTAAGAGCATTTACTTAAAAGTACCTGAAAAGGCATTCATTGTGTGTGTGTGTGTGTGTGTGTGTGTGTATATTTCTACAAAAATTTCTACAGATTTATACACATGTGCAATACATAAAATAACCTTTAATTATGGAAAGTAAACAAGAAAAAAAATCACAGTTCAACAACCATCTTCATCTTAACATACAGAATACATTACAGCCAACATATGGAAGTGGGAAGACAAGTACAGCTTGTATATTATAAAGAAATAATACGTCTAAATATATATTATTTTTTAGGTTTATTATTTCTTTATAATATGCAGGCCAGATTTTGCCTCACACTTACTGGGTGGTGGCTGTAATTCTCAATCCCTGTGACTCTGTATACTTAATTCTGACCACTAATGAAGATGGCTCTTTTCTTGTTTACTTGCCATTATTTTATGTATTGTATATGTACATAAATTCGTAGAATTTTTGTTTTATATTATGAATGCCTTTTTTGGTTGATGTGTTTTATTTTTTGAAAAAACTTCATATATGAACTTCAGGTGTTTTTCAATATATGTTTTTCTACAACTTTCTGTTATTAGGTTTTTGTTGCAGTTATTCCCTTCCATTTGGCTTGTAGCTGATGTGCAATACAAAAGTTGGGCTAAAATATATATGGAATAATCTTCAGTGGTAAATATGGCATTTTCTGGGGGCTGGACACTTGGGACAGTCAAGGATTGCAACCTGTGAGCACAGAGATCAGGATACAGAGCAACACTCCTAGAGATTAATTTCAGCCTTCTTCCTTTGATGAAGCTGCTTCTTCAATCCTCACACCCCATCGTAGTCAAGCATTTCATGTTTATCAGCGACCTTCCTGCATCTCACGCAGGATCATTTTTCACCAGGTTCCCAACATATTGCTTACTTTCAGAAGTAAGAGGACAGCCACACCCACTGGGGCAATATCTAATCTGAGCAGTGCTATCAGAATTAACAATATCCTACAGTCAAAACCTGTATTCCATACCAACAAATTCTCTTACAGTCATGTACCTGATGCCTTGTCTCCACAGACAACACAATATTCTACTACTTGTGGTCGCTGCACATCAGTTTTAGCTAACAAACGTTCCACAGATGCAGAGTCTGTCACAATCTAAAATGAAACATTAGAAGGTTTACCATTAGAATCTCAAATTAGATTAAGAAAAGAAAAAAAGACACATGATAAATGTGGGAATGGAAAATGTATTAAAGCAGGAGTAGCAGCAGCAAAAAGGTATAAAAATGTCACACAGAGCAGAAGAACACATTTACCAAAAGAAAGAAAGAAAAGAACCAAAGAAACCAATTAGAATATGGGGAGAAATGCTTGGATATCTGCTCAGTGGCAATTACATTTTTTGATAAAACAATAAATCTCTCAAAAGACTGTAACAATATCTGTTGTAATAGTCAAGTAGAATCTGCCTATTCATGACAAAACATTCCAGGAAGAAAAACACTTTTCTCCCTGTAAGACACAAAGAGTTGTCAAAACCATTCTTTTAAAATCTGAATTTATTTTGCAAAATGATTTCAACACTACTGGTAAATGTGAGCACTTTTGTTTCATTGGTAGGTCTTAACACTTTTTTCTATATCATCTCATGAAACAATATTTACCTGTATTCTTCCAGGTACGATGTTATCTGTCGTGGTAAAAATAAGTTGCTTGGCATTAGAGGCCTCAGGTGCAGCCAGGATCACTTTCCCTGTTCCTGTTCCATCTGGACTAGCCAATATAAACTGTTGCTTTGGGGACACGGATGAATCCACTGCAGTCACTATTTGGATTTTCTGCCCTGTTTGCTGATCTGTGACAATCTATAACAAAAATTGAAATATTTTATCATATAAGTTAATTGGTCACTACTGGCTAGGAACTGGATTCTGTCACTTTAAAATTATGCTGTTCTCCCGCCATTGCTAGGTTATGTATGCAACTCAGTCACAAAAGGGTACTACTAGTAAAACTGGAAAGCTTTTATCTCAAAGGGCTTCGAGTATGTATATGACTACTCAGAATGTAACTCAATAGGAAATCTTCTCTTTATATGCATCTCCCACCCAGTGCAAGCACTAGCAAGAGAGATCTCTGTGGCAGGATTTCAACAAAAATACAATTGCATTAATGAAACAAAATGGGCAATCATTCAGTAAAATTAAGTTCCGTACTGTTCCTCACTCTGTGGTCTCAAATAACTATTACACAATAAAACAGATTTTTCTTCCATATGTTTACTTTAATTCTATTTAAATAAATGTTTTATTATTGTAGAGCAGTCTGAGGACACAGGTTTAGAGTCAGAGAAAAACTCCAGGTGTAACCTACAATTATAGAAACAAACCTTATACCTGAATACGCTGTGGTGAAGCTACAGAGGAGTCTGTGGAGATGATCTGGATGCGTTGGGAGGGGCTGGTCATCACTGGAGATTCAGATAATGTTGTCTGTACAGTTTGCACCTATATTGAATCATGTAAAAATGTGAATTTGTGTGTATAAACACAGTGAAAATGTTTTAATCTTGTTCATTTAATACTAAAAAAACAAGCAGGACCTGTGAGGAATTTTCAAGGGACCGAAAATCCCATCCCTGACCGCCACCTTCTCTTTCCTTTGCTGCTACCTTCTCTCCTCCCCTGCTGCTGTTTCAGTAGTGTTTACGAGGTTACTAGGGTTGGCTGAGGTCTTGAGAGATTTTTAAAACTGCTGTCCTGGGTTCTTGGGATCCAGTAAGGATTTATTTTTTTGTTCCCTGCCAGTTGTTCTGTTGATTGCCAAGTGTACACCTTTATATTTAAAGCAGTATCAAATTATTTGGCTCAGAGTAAAAAGGTAAAGGTAAAGGTTCCCTTGCTCGAAAGCCAGTCGAATCCGACTCTAGGGTTGCGGTGCTCATCTCCGTTTCAAAGCCGAAGAGCCAGCGCTGTCTGAAGACATTTCCGTGGACATGTGGCCGGCATGACTAAATACCAAGGCGCACGGAATGCTGTTACCTTCCCACTGAAGTGGTCCCTATTTATCTACTTGCAATTTCTTGCTTTCAAACTGCTAGGTTGGCAGGAGCTGGAACTAGAGATGGGAGCTCACTCCATCATGCGGCACCTGGGTCTCGAGCTGCTGAACTACTGACCTTCCAGAGCCTGCAGTTCAGCATCTTAACCACTTGAGCCACCGCAGCTCAGAGTACACTCCATTTATTGCCTATTGAGCACTAACCATTATTTTTAAACAAGGGTATGCTTTTTCCTTTGATGATAATAACTGAAAACTAAGTAAAAATTCACCTAATTGGTTGGTGCAGATGAAATAAAACCTAAAATATGTCTCTTCTGCCATGGCATAAGGGAGACTGTGATCACCAGTCAAGCATGGAACTAATGCAAGTGATGAGGTGCCCCACTGACTTCCATGGGAAAGAACTAAATTCTGTTGAAACAGATGTGTGGATAACCATGTCCATGGCATATGATTCATAATTAAAATTAGTGTGTGTCAACAGTATGCACTGCCTGAATCACTGCAAGCTGCTTAACAGGCAGTTGTTTGATCAACACAGTGGTCCCTCTCATGGGCATGCAGTGAATGGGACTTTCACAGGTACAACAGTCTCAATGGAATAAAAGAACTGGCAATCCCAATTATCTGACTTGCTTCAATATGGACAATGCTGTTCAATAAATGCCTGAAATCTGTCACAACTAAATCTCTGTTTGGTGAATGGGGATCTGTGAGCCCTGCTAAATGTAGCAAGGGGGATGGCTTTCTAGCTGCATTCAGGGATATGCTGTAGTTGAGTTTCTCTAGTAAACTACGTCCTTCTGTATTAGCTTGCCTGCCTTAGTCTATATGGTAGGTGTCAACAGTTGGGTTACTATGCCTAGTGCATTATTCTGTATTATGTTCCTGTGGGCCCAACTGGATGAGTGAGTAGAATATATGAGATGTGGATTTTAGTCCACCCTCACCCTGCTGATATTGCTGGCCTAAAGGTGAGCTTTGCTTTCTTGCCAGCATCCCTTTACTCAGTGAGTTACTGGGTGGAGGAGGGGGGCTTGACAGGTGTACATTCTATGGCTATGCTATACAGTTGTATCTTTCCCCTGTTGTTGCCCTAGTTGCTGGCAAGAAAGCCAAGCTCACTTTTTGGTCTACAACATCAGCAAGAGGAAGCTGGACTAGAATCTATACATTCTAACTATTCATCCAACTGAGTGCACAGGAACATAACACAGCATCGAGCATGAGGCATCCTCAAATTCTGCCTTCTCCTGCTGTTGCTTCCATTGTGTGGGTGAGGTTGTGGACATTCTGACAGGCAGGGCCAGTTCCAGATTTTGGATGGCCCTGGGCAGAGAGTACCCAAGGGCCCCCTCCCCTGCTCTGACCATCACCAAGACCTTGCCTTGGTGATTCATGCCTTCCTTCCCACCCATCCATATCCTCACCTGCCTGTGCATCCTTCCTTCCTTCTCTCACATATTTGTGAGTCTTCCCACTGACTGTATGTTGTTTCCCCAATGGTGCTGAATGACGTGTGCAGATAGAAACACCATTTTGTCTCCCCAAAGTACCACCACTATACACTACCAGCAGGTTCTGCCCTAGCAGCATGTGGTTTGGGCGCTCTACAGCATTGGGCCCTCCTAGAAACCCTGGTCCCTGCCCCCACCTTATGGTATGCCAACACCAGCCCTGCTGTCAAGGTTGCCTCTACCAATTGAGCTATGCAGGTATAGAGAATGATGTTGAGATGGCCGTTTCCTTCCCTGGGTATCTGCCTTGCAAAAGGGAACACTGTTGCAGGAAAGGATTCAAAACCATGTCTGTGAGGTTCCCTGGTTATGTGTTTCTTCCAGGGCGCTTCCCACTTATACTACGGTCCTTCTTAAAATAACATGTGCCTGTGTTACCTTTCCCCCTTTTCTTGTTGTGTTCTGTATGTGGGTGGTAGTGGGCTAATTCCACTGGGACATGGTCACATCAGCATGAACTGTCTGCTTCCATCTTTGCCTATCATGGGGATGTCATTGGCATATCGCTCCATGATTGATTGGTGTTGGCATGGTTTCTATGGATTCTGGTAATCCACTTTACTTTCTGCACCTTGGATATTTCTTTACATTTCTCTCCTCTGCTGGGTGAGCATGGGCTACTAACTGGCAGCGCTGGGCAGGAGTCAGTGAGGTGCTAAGGTCTTAGGATAGGGCTGCCTGTCATCTTTAATTCAATTCACTCTATAGTAGAATCTGGAGAAGAATCTCTGTACTCTACTCTTTCGGGAAAGCTAAATATGTCTATTAGGAAGATGCCAAACCTGGTTGTGCCTGTGTTACCTTTCCCCCTTTTCTTGTTGTGTTCTGTATGTGGGTGGTAGTGGGCTAATTCCACTGGGACATGGTCACATCAGCATGAACTGTCTGCTTCCATCTTTGCCTATCATGGGGATGTCATTGGCATATCGCTCCATGATTGATTGGTGTTGGCATGGTTTCTATGGATTCTGGTAATCCACTTTACTTTCTGCACCTTGGATATTTCTTTACATTTCTCTCCTCTGCTGGGTGAGCATGGGCTACTAACTGGCAGCGCTGGGCAGGAGTCAGTGAGGTGCTAAGGTCTTAGGATAGGGCTGCCTGTCATCTTTAATTCAATTCACTCTATAGTAGAATCTGGAGAAGAATCTCTGTACTCTACTCTTTCGGGAAAGCTAAATATGTCTATTAGGAAGATGCCAAACCTGGTTGTGGTCCTTTGGCATAACTATATCTTCTTGTTGTGTTCTGTATGTGGGTGGTAGTGGGCTAATTCCACTGGGACATGGTCACATCAGCATGAACTGTCTGCTTCCATCTTTGCCTATCATGGGGATGTCATTGGCATATCGCTCCATGATTGATTGGTGTTGGCATGGTTTCTATGGATTCTGGTAATCCACTTTACTTTCTGCACCTTGGATATTTCTTTACATTTCTCTCCTCTGCTGGGTGAGCATGGGCTACTAACTGGCAGCGCTGGGCAGGAGTCAGTGAGGTGCTAAGGTCTTAGGATAGGGCTGCCTGTCATCTTTAATTCAATTCACTCTATAGTAGAATCTGGAGAAGAATCTCTGTACTCTACTCTTTCGGGAAAGCTAAATATGTCTATTAGGAAGATGCCAAACCTGGTTGTGGTCCTTTGGCATAACTATATCTTTGGGCACCATGACTCCTGCTGTTGATTCTACCAGCTAATCCAATCCATATAAATTACTAAGGATTCCTTGTATGTACTCCACTGACAGAGAAAGAAGCTGAATCTCAGCTGATGCTATCAGAAGCACTATTTCCTGATAAAGAGATCTGCACCAAATATCTGCATGCTTGTTAATATGGGCTTTCACGGGGATGCTGTCTATTCAGGTTGTATCGTTTATTGGCTTCACAATAAATGGTTATTGAAGCGGTTGCCAAGTTCTGTAATTGCCTTATAATGAGGAAGCTGTGTGTCAAATCTATGAACTGAATGGCGGCCCTGTATGATGATCCATGCCAATAAAGGTTTTGAACTTGAACTTGATGCTGTCTATTCTCACCCCTGAACTCTGGATGAAAAAGCAGAAATAAAAGGAAAGAATGAACATATAGCTGATGCTATAGGACATCTCCCGTGAGGACTACAAATCTTGTACAGACAGTTTTTGGCAGTGTGTTTCCCAGCCTGCAAGATTTACATCTGTGCTGTCTTGTGTCCAGTCCTGAATGTGAAAGGAAACTCCTAGTGTCAGGAGAGTAGCCATTGTCCATCAGCATAGGCTTGCTTGGATTTTTGCTGGTGTCCAAATGCAGAGATGATGCTTACTTAAAATAGCAATTGGGAAACAGAAGAAACCACTGAAAGGATCTTGCAGAATCTTGCCTAGAGCACAGTCTTTTCACAGGCCATTATTGAACTTTGGAAGTATGCCAAGAATATGAGCTGAATATGAGCTTTGATGATCATCCCCTGGTGTGCCAGTCTCTGCAACATCTCCTCAACAATGATAGAAACATTCTCTGGCAATATCAGTGATCTCCTCCAAGCACTGTAGCTTCTGAGATGGCTGGAGAGAATTTGTCACTTTGTTGTTTGTAAAACTGTGGCAATGCAGGCATTGCAGTGTCACGTGGACATCCCTTACCTTTGATTGAGAACACCTTGATAAGGATATAATTCAGATAAGGGTGAAGATAAACTCCTTGTAATCTGAGGTTTCAACCATGATCTTGGTGAAGACCCCGAGGTGAAAGCAAGGCTGAATGGGAGAGCTTATAATGTTTGTCTAGGTAAGCAAACAGGAGGAACCTGCACTGTACTGTAGTCACTAAAACGTGGCCTCAGTTAAAGCTACTGATACTAGAAAGTAATTGGGTTGGAGTGCCTCTGCAATGGAATCAGATGCTCCATCTACAATTGTTTGCATCTGAGGTACTTCTTTAAGAAC